GAGACAAACCGAGAGATTCAGTTGATCACGATGTCGGAATGGAAGGCCTGCAGTTTCCGGTTCATCCCGTTTGGACATCCCGGAAACAATAGCTATGCCACCCTAATCTTGGAGCAAGCATTTGTTTAAAACCCTGCAATGTCTTGAAACCTGAAAGCCAGCAGCACCCTACAGCCCAGGACCAGGACATGCCGATTGCATGTCATATACATGCAGTGCTGTGCTGTCTAGATCTATGCCGTGTCTCAACGGTGCTTTGCAATCGCTGCCATGCAGCGAGCCCTGCTGCTTTCTCGAAGCAAGTTGCTGGAGAAGAACAAGCGGAAACGTGTACCCCCCCTGCCGGCTTGCCTGCATCGTGTGCGGCTGTGTGCATTTACATGCAGGTGTAGTCTGTACATGTTGCATTTTGTGCGCTTTGCATGCATGCATGGCTTGGGTTTTAAAAGCCGTTTTGCTTCACAGCAGTTCCAGGCCTTGAAGGGTCATGTCGAATGATGGGTGTGCCGCTGTTGCGGCAGCCGATGATAACGATGATGAGTTCGATGTATCGAACGATTACGAGTGGCTTGCTGTGGATTAGCTAACGGGGTTTGACCGCGAGCCAAGATTTGAGTATTTGTCGTAGCTTGCAATTGCATACTCGAGGACCATGGTGATCAAGGATATCCTGGACGAGTGGGTTCGGGGCAAAGACGAGGGGAAGAAGCACAGCCGTGCTGGGGAAGCGAGGCGGAAGGAAGAGATTCGGCAGCAAGGGGATTTGGAAGTGTGGTGGTATGCTCATAGTTTTGCCTTACTAGTCTGCATTGTCCATCTGAGGGGCATGAACTCTTGGAGCCCTTCCAATTCATATCAGATGCTGCCGTGGAGGTTGCTTTCGAGGCGATCGCTCCACTGCTTGCATCTTTCGGGTGCAGTCAGCCCCCTCTGGGAAAGTACAAGGTATCTTGTCATGCTATTACATTATACGGATTCCTAATTGCTACAGAATACGCATTTCGGCTCAGGACGGTTTCGAATGGATTCTGAAAGAGCACGATATCATGGGCAAAGATGTGAAGAAAAAGGAAAGCCAGGCCGGCTCCAGTGTGTGTGTGCATGTGTAGACTCGTCCTCAGCGGCTGTGACAGTGTTGCAGTTGCCGAGCGAATACATGTTTGTGCACCTGGCTTGCAGATGTGGGTGGGTTACCACTCCGGGACTTTGCGAGGACGAGTGATCTATTTGGTGAGATTGTACCGGAAAACTCCGGATCGATCGAAGCTGCTTTCCGGCACATATGCATGCGGTGGGTGGCGAGCTCGACAGACAGATGTGGAGAGAGAGAGAGAGAGAGAGTGTGTGTGTGTCTGTGTGTGTATGAGGTCTCCCAAGATACAGATGCTCAAGGACATCTTGAAAGCTCAAGAGCCTCCACCCGAATCCGGGGGCCAGGATATGGCAGCGGCTCCAATCGAAGCTGAGGACCAGGATATGGCAGAGACTCCAGCCGAAGCTGGGGACCAGGATATGGCAGAGGCTCCAACCGAAGCTGGGGACCAGGATATGGCAGAGGCTCCAGCCGAACCCGGGGACCAGGATATGGCAGAGGCTCCAGCTGAGGATGGGGTTGAGGCGAGGGTTGACGTGAAGCCTTCTGTGATACATTTAGCAGAATATTGCACATGAAAATGTTGCAGTTGTACAGGCAGTGGAGAAGAGCTACCCACCGGTGCCTGCTTTCGAGGACTAGCTGGTGCATGCTTCATAAAATCTAATGATGTTTCTTTGCATGCAGGGTGCGATTCAGCTATCCACAGATGCAGACAGCCAGATCGTTGAGGAGCAGGAGGAAGAGCATTTTCAGTATCAGACCGATCGTACAGACATGTGTGCATGTGCTTATTGTGCAATGTGCTTGCAACCTCCATGTGCAGGAACACGAGGTGCCAGCCACCCAGCCCGATCCCCCATCAGCCGAGAAGCCGAAGCCCGAGAAGGACAATTCTGGGATAGCGCCTATGTGTGTACCATGTGCATGTATGTGTACGATGTATGGTCATGACATCTCTTTCCCAATCCCTCAGTATCTATATTATGTTTTGCTTTTAAATTTGATTATTGTCAGGATCCGAAAGACTCCGAGGACTCCCACGGCGATCGAACGAGCGACAAGGACTTCATGGAAGGATCACTCCATGAAATTTTGAAGATATGGATTTCGAAGCTTGCAGGATCGCAAACCCTTGGTGGCCGAAGCTCCAACCTGGGATTCCAGCCAGGCTGAAAAAGTGTTGGAGGAAGCAGGCGGTGAGGATGATGCTGCTTTGTCCGAGCTGCAGTCCAAACTGTTTCCCAGCTGAATATAGTACTTGCATGCACATGGGCTGCATTTGGCATGACAGCACGTACAATCGCACTTAGAGTGTACATGTACATTCCATCCGAGGCGAGCAGCTGCTAAGGCGAAGGCAACTGTTGAGCATGCGGAAAAGAAGACTCGAGGACGTGGCCGTGGAGGCGGCGGTCGTGGAGGCGGCCGTGGAAGGAGCACGGTTGCAATTCATTCCATATAGCTGATCACTTTCATAATATCATGCAGGAGTGGCGCCGCATTGAAGCGGCCAGCAGCTGCAAAGCGGAAGGTCGACGAGGTGGACGAGGTTGGGCCGGAGACGGAAGTGGTCGAGGCCTCCGCCGGGATGGCGCAAAGCAAGGAGGAGGATATCGATGCTGAAGCCAAGCCCGAGAAGAAAGCAAAGAAAGGCGAGCAGGAAGCAGACGGGAATGATGATAAAGGCAAGAACGACAAGAAAAACAAGAAAGACCGGACAGCCGAGGAGAAGGAGGTGCTGGACAGCATCCCGGAGCTTGAGAACTACAGAGTTCTTCAGCTGGCAATAGACCCGCACATTATCACAAATCGTGCTGGCAGTATGTTGTTGCTGTTACAAGCTCATCCAGCATTGAGGTGATGCCGTACTGGAGCCGACCTTTCGAGTGTGGTGTCGTGCGCAAAGCGACATCAGCGAGGCCTAAGAAGCAGGCAGGATGTCCGTGCAGGTCAGTTTGTGATGTGTGCGGTAGTGTTGCGGCATTGTGTAGCAGCTAAGTAGCAGGTGCTGTTCATCTCCGGCAAGCACACGGGGCTGCCTATCACGTGGAAGGAGCTTGTTGACCCTTGCATCAAAGCCGTGGCTTGCCGGTAAATAGATAGCATATACTTTTCGTGGCAGTGGCAACAGTGTCGAGCTGCCAAACATCCGGTTGCCTTTTTGAGGCTGAGTCTTTGGAAGAGGGCAAGGAAATGGCGGTGGTGGAAGATGCCTTCGAGCAGGACAAAATGGCTTTGGCAAAATTGACGGCCCAGCGCCGGGCCGAAAAGGCCGTGAAGTAGAGCTGCTGTGGAATGGATGTGATCGTCCTGACTGGAAAGGGTCCAGTTTACAGGATGAGGTTTTGATGGCCTCCCCGACATAGTGATCCTGCCCGAACACATAAACCATGCTGTTCATTTTGGGCCTCGGCTTTGCCGTTCAGTAGTGGACACGACTGCCGCAGATGCTGCTTTCGACGGGTCCAAATGTGTAGTTGCCAGCCCTGCAGATTTCGAGTGTCATTCGAAAGGTTCTGCAGTAGTAGTAGTGATGACACAGGCATGATACATGTTGTGCTGTTGGCTCGTGCATGTGGCTGCTTCATGCAATTGTTCAGCAGGCAGCACCTTGACTAGAAAACTGAGGCCTGTTCCAGTCTATCCCGACCCTGTATGGTTATAGGTTATAGGTCGTTACAATCCGAAGGGTTATAGGTAGTACATCCCTAAACCTTAAACCCCTGAAGCCAGGCTTTGTCCGAGTGTGAGTGTCAAAAAGCCCCTGAAGCTTATAATTAAACTGTACATAATGAAGAGATGATCATCCGAGGCCAACGATATGTGATGTGGCGCTTTTTCTCGTGGCTGGCATCGCTGGAATCTCCGATGACTCCGGCCATATATGGACTCGATTTTATCGTCCACCGGCACAGCCCGGAATATGTGTCATGGCATTATACTCTAGAGGGAGACGTGGTCTTGCACAGCAGATAGAGCTGACAGAACAACCCAGGAACGGTTATTGGATGTGGAGTCGATCAAGATCCTGACCTATACTACAGTCTGATGCCGCCACGGGATATCTCGATGCTGTTTGCCGGCCTGAAGTGTTTTGCAGCAGTAGTAGTTACTAGTAGTAGTAGTAGTAGTAGTAGTAGTAGTAGTAGTAGTAGTAGTAGTAGTAGTAGTCGTAGTCGTAGTCGTAGTAGTAGTAGTAGTATAGTAGTAGTAGTAGGAGTAGTAGTAGTAGTAGTAGTAGTAGTAGTAGTAGTGGTAGTAGTAGGAGTAGTAGTAGTAGTAGTACTACGGTTGATGATATAAATCCTGCATTACCTTATAAGGACCCTAAACTATGGGAATTTTAGTACATTCCATATTATGGGTCATGCAGGATTTATACCATCAGCCGTAGTACTATACTACTACGTACTACTAGTGCTACTACGTAATGCTGCTGCTGCCTACTACTACTTCTACTAGTACTGCTGCTAGCTACTAGTCTCCTACTCCTACTCCCACTCCTAGTCCCACTCACATTCCCACACTAGGAGGACTACTACTTTACTACTACTTGCCTTGAGGTTGACAAGACTTTGCTCCCTCTGGTCTTCGGCCTGGACAGGCTCCTTCGACACATTGCTGGGTTTTCAGGAATTGGGAACTGACCTTAGGACGAAGTCACCTTGTCGAAGTCGCCATTGCAGTTTGGATCCTATTGGAGCATTCGCTCCTTTCAACACAATTTATCAATTGCTATGCAGACGATTGGGGCTTCGAAGTAGAAGTCTTGAGGCTCAGGGTTGAGAGAGTTCGGATCGTTTGCCATGGCGAGTAACGGTAGTACTAGTGTCAAGATATCAGGTCCAAGCAGGGACTGGGGATGTCGGGTTGCTTGCCACGATTTAACTTAATTCATCATGCTAAGAATATATCAGAAGCTGCCCCCACCCTGTAATAGTGGAATATAATAGGGCCCTAATATAATCCTTTATGATCTTATAGTCACTATTACAGGGTGGGGGGCGGCTTCTAATATATAGACATAGGCTCAACAAGGAGGGATTCGGGCTTAAGGCTGTCGGGGGCTTAAATTCACGGATTTGGGCATAGTCGGGGTATGGAGTTGTGTCGTAGGGTTGAGGTTTGGGGATGTTCATCCCCACGATCGGCGCTTTGGGCTTCCGGTTTTGGTGTGCAGTGTGCTCTATTAATGCTTCGGAGCTCTAGCTAATCCTCAAAGCCTATAATCATCTATAACCCTAAACCCTATAATAATCGATAACCCTAAACCCTAAACCCGGAACCAAACCCTCAACCCTAAACCTTAAACTCCGCACTAAAAGCCGGAAGCCCTCGAGCGGCTCACGCCGTAGTCCGGACAGCCTGAGACGGACAGCCGGAGGTTTGGAAACCGACATATCCGATCGCAGAATCCCAGTTCAAGCCTGTGCATAAACTGCCCATCCCTGAGGCATGAACCCTGATGTATACATCGACTGAAGCCAACCGAAGTATCCACCCAGGTTCTTCTCGTATGCACGACCGATGGCGGTATGGCCGGCTACGGTGTGTGATCGTGCCTACGTAGTGGATCTCGAAGCAGCAATGGGCGTCGGGTTTACGGGAATCCCACAAGGAAATAGATTATATGCTAGATCCGAAGCAATCACTAAATGAATATATATATATATATATATACATACATTTGTAAAAACTTACGAACCTAGGGCTCCAGCTACCTAAATAGCTTATCGTAGGTTACTGGGGTATATAATATATGGCTAGTAACCTACTATTTAAGTAACTGGAGCCTTAGGGAAAGGTAGGGGTCTTGGGTTTCGGGATTTCCAAACATTCGGGAGCCGGCAATCGGGCAAAGGGCAAAGAGTTTGGGACTGTGTGATCGAGCGGCTTCCCACTACATGTGCAACTTGCAATGCCAGTGCTTTTAATCCGACTGCTGCTTCAACATCGATCCCTGAAAGAGCTTTTGGGCTTACATCTTTTCGGAGCCCTGGCTGGTCGCTCTTTGCAGCTTGACTTATGACAAACGAAACATGTGCATACCATGATGCTACATCACGCAGGAGTGAACCCCGACCAAGTACTATATGTAATCCCACGTACATCCCAGGCGACTTTGTGCCCGGCCCGCCTTCATCGAGTTCTGAGCCTGGGCATTACACTGATCATTCCACTTTTATAATTCATGTAAATATACATATTAGCATAGATCTCCAAACTCGGGGTCCGAGGCGAAGCCTTCCAGCCCTAATCCATCAATTGAACCTCAGAAAAATACTTGCAAGGTTCTGTGATATAGGCTAAGTGCTAAACCCCAAATCGGGAAGGGTTGGGTCGTAAACTCAATCTAGCGATCTGTTCATGTTCAACTAGGCACCAAAGGGTTGGGTGTAGAACCCCAAGTGTGCAGGGGTATGATTTGTCCCGATAACTATATAAAGGATTCACTTAACCCTGAGCCCTAACACTAGCGAGTGGAAGAGGCTTAGGGCTTAGGGCGGTTTAGGTTGCTAAACCCCAAAACTATAACCTGTTGGGGCTCAACGGTGCTTGGGGCCTACATGATAAGCCGAAAGTCCAAATCCCTAAAATCGGAACAAGCTCCGGGTACGAAATCCCACACCTTACAAACGTTCTTTCCAAAGCCCGAGTTTCAATCCGCTGACTAGATGTTTCACCGAATTCCCCCAGGGCTCAGGGTGCTATATCATTATCAGCAGATTTCAATGTTCCTATTTGACTCTGTATGGCGAACGTGGCAAACCTAAACGGGGTGGTCGTGTGTGGGGGGTGCCCGAATGGTTGATCGTACGTCCAGCTGCAGTCACCGCAGTGCCTCGAGAGCCGTCTCGAAGTAAAGCTTGCTTTGTCGGGCGCCTTGTGCAACACGTCTGCCCTTTCTGATGTGGTTGCTCAGATGTGCGACTGGAATGATCAGTTCAGCACGAAGCTGAAAGCCTTGATGCAGTCTTTGTGCAAGACATGCTAGCAAGGGGGTGTCCTGGCCCAGCCTCGGTGTGCAATGAATGTGGGTCAAACCCAGTGCAGTATGTCGATTCCTTCAAAGGTTCAGAGATTGTAACCCGCTAGAATGAAAGCTTTCTGGTCTGCAAACCCAGAATCATATATCATATTTTGGTCACCGATCATCCCGAAGTCACGAACGTTCCAGTACTGTACTAGGGAAATTACTAACCTGCTGCTGCTACTACACTACAGCAACAACACCTACTAGTACTACTAGCTACTACTATCACTACTCCTACCACTACCACTACGACTACTACTCCTATTGCCGTGGACTACTTCCACTCCTGCTCCTGTTGCTGCTAAGTATTAATACTCTACGAATATCCCGAACTTACAGATGCCTGAACCGGCAAGCCCAGATTGGGTTCGTAGGCCGAGTTCCAAAAAAGCCCTTAATATCCCAAGCCGGTTAGACAGAGCCCTGCCGATCCTATCAGGCCTACACCTCCGAAAAAAAAATAGCTTCCCTAAACCCTTAAAACCGAAAACCGCTAAATAACCTAGGCCTCGCCCTCGGCGCTTTGGCAGCCACACGGACCGGCGGTTCGGCAGCCACACGGACCTGCAGTTCAGGACTAGGGGTGTGGTAATTAAGGTCAAGATTAGCTAGGGTGTACTGTAGGGTTTAAGTGTTTGTGGTGTAGAGATTCCATCGGGCAAGATTAGGGTAGCCCCAGGCCAGGTAGTCTGAAACCACAAGCTTGGGGTCGGTGTTTGATGGTACTCATGTGTTGCTAACAGCACATACTTGAAAGCCCTGGAACTACAACTGGAAACTCGAAGCCTCTGAGGAAGTATGCCGAATCTGTAGGGCTTAGGGTTGGGGCTTGCATATATGAAGGGCTTTGACTCTAGTCTTATATAAAATCCGAAAAGTTGGGTCTTGGACAAGCACTGTGCAATCGGAGATTTAGGGTTCATCGTTAAGTGTAGCACCGGGTGAAGATTTAATTAAGGCTGGGTGTCAAAATTGGCCATGGGGTGTCCGAATATATTGGATCCTAGTACTCGTATCGCTACCCGAGTCCTGGCTTTCAGCTGGTTGCCGGGCAGTACATGAACAGGCCTCAAGAACTAAATAAGGAACCCGAAGCCAAGAATGTATATGCATGATATAGAATTTTGCAATAATATATATATATATATATATATAAATATATATATATATACATATATATATATATATATATACATCTAAAAAGCCGTAAACTAAAGCCCAAACTTTGCACAGAACACACCCTAAACAC